ATTTTTTTTATAAAAAACTGAATCAAATTTTGAAAAAGTGTCTTCAGAGGAGCATAGATTTAACCTTTACCTATACGTACATATTTTTTTCTTTTAGACAAAGTCAAACATAAACTTTAAAAGTGGGATACTACGAAACCCTTGCATGCTCCGCGCTACAGCCAAGTAAATACTCCTCTTAATTCTGACGAGACGATAATCAAATGTTTTCAGATATCTCCTTTAAAATATTGTATTAAATTGTGTTAATAATTTTAATATTTCATAATAAAAAAAAAGAACATGGTTATTTAGGTAAAAAGTGTGTAAAATGGCCTTTTTTTCGAATGTGAATATTGTTACATTAGTCAAAAAAGTCTTTATATACACTAATTGCATACAATATTTTTTCCTTTACAGTACATATTGAATTACAAAAGTTACTTTAGACACTAGTTCGTAAAGTAAAGGGTGTTTCAGAAATATTTAGTTTATTAATACATCCGCTAACACAATAGGCACATTCCTGAGAAAGGAAGCAGTTGGAAAATGGTGATATATATGTTAGCAGGTAAACGAATTTTTGTGAGATTACTAATTGTAGTATAATGTAGAGAGCATCAGCAGTCAAGGGCGGGGTGTGCAGGGAACTGTTGCGGTAGTAAAGTATCGCCGGCACTTCTCCAGGCAGAACGATTTCAGTCGCCTTGAGTGTCTAATGTGATTAGATGTGGTTGTTGGCTGATTCTCATGCATTGTGTTTTATCGGTAATCATTTGAGGAATTCCCAAAGTTTTTACTAAAGAAAGCTTTGAACATTAAATAGTACAATTTATGACACAATCGTTGACAAAACTTGGTGCATGATGTAGAATGAGGTTACAGCCGGTCGATGAGGTAACGAACTAGCATCATGTTTATTCACTTGGGCGATGGAAGAACTTCGAAACCCTGATAGATCTACTGAGAAGTTAATAGTGTTGACAGATAATTGCAGTGGCCAAAATAGGAATATTAATATGGTATTCAAGTATCTGTGGCTGTTAGAAAAAGTACCGACCCTAGAAGAAGTCAATCATAAATTTCTACTTGCTGGACACACACACATGGAAGTAGATGTCAAGCATAGTGTGAATAGAGAGGGCGAATAAAAAACTGAAAAGTCACACTATTTTTACAAAAAATAAATGGGCAAACTTTATTTCTTCGTGCTCAAAAAGTGACCCCTTTATTGTGAGGAGGATGGGCCTCGAAGACTTTCTAGATTTCCTTTACTTGATAGGCGATTAAATTTAAAAAATACCCTTTTGGATTTTTAATAAAGACACCAATAATTTTGACATGAATATCCACCATCAATGGGTATTATCAAATACAAGGCCAATTACATATTACAGGACGAAAAGGATGTATTTTTGGTGTATGGACAGGTCCCAATTATCCACTTAAAGTAAAATATATAATAAAAAGAGACGATTTCTGGTGTAAAAATATGAAGGAGAAGTTAAAAAAGTTTTATATAAACTGTATGTTGCCAGAAATGATAGATCCAAGGCATAATCGGGGAATGTCATTAAGAGAACCTGATTACATCTTAGAAGCTATTCAAAAATTAAAAAATAAGAAACAAAAATAATTACCTCCAAAAAGTTAAATAACATTAATAGTAAGATGTTTCTACAAAGCCGCTATTTATTCTAAAAGTATTTTCTTTAATATTTTTGGTTTTAATCTAGGTACTGTTAAAACGCTATAATACCTATATTTATTTGCAGGTCTTCTGTAACTAATTTATTTGTAGTACTGGATCCAATTAAGTTACCAAAAAATAATAACCGATCATTTTAAATACATTTCGTATGCCTACTTTGTAAAAAATAATATCGAGCTGTTTAGTCAAACGCCTTGCTCTTTACAAAAACAAAATTAAATTATTTTATAATTTGTGATACATTTACATCATATCTAAAAATAAAAAAAAAAGTTGATGCACAGGGTTCATAATCAGTGGCGGCTTGTCGTAATTTAAAATGGGTGTTCATTTTTTTCCAATAATTTCATTATATGTAAGTTCGGATCAAAACTTTGTACAAGAGCCAATATCGCTGTTTTTTTATTATTTGAGTTATTATATCAACATCATACTGTTTTCAAGCACTATAACTATTAATAAATGAATATTTTAGTTATTGTGATATTTGTTTTGTTTTTAATACGTCGAAAACCATCTATAAACATTATTAGTTAGTAAACTGACTTTTCTTCATAATTTGAGATTATTTTTAAATATATGTCAGGTTGTGTAAAAAATTTTGTATGAAACTTTACCTACAATTTTTTAGTTTTTATTGTAAGTTTAATTATTTTCACAATTTATCACAGATGTCAAATAAAAAATATATTTTTTAAATACCTTTTATTGGCAAATAAAATAAAAACTAAAATAAGATCAGTCCCATCACAATACATAATATTAAACAGACACAAACTAGAATAAAGATATATAATGCCTGGCATTTTAAATGATACTTTTCGCAGTTTAACAGACCCCGTTAACCCCATTTTTAAGCAGATTGTTTTCACAATCAATAGGCCTCATCTCCTTATAGACCTTGGTTGTTACTAAAACTTTCATGTTGATGTCGCTTTTCATTTTTGATATTTTTTTTTTTAATTTCAAGTCCCCTTAAATCCCCCATATTTAATCAGATTTTTTTTATAATGAAAGGGCTTCTTCTCCTTTTAGAGATTGATGTTTGCTAAAAAATGTTTGTGACCGACGCGCCAATTAATGGGTTCTTTAACAGTTTGCAGGATCTCTTGGCGTGTTGTCTTCTCTTTTTAGGTATATGCATTCGGCATATTGTCTCACACGTGTTAGGCTCACTCATCATAATGCGCCACAGACACAGTATATTTAGGTATACTGTGAAATAGAGACGCGATCAGCCAGAGGACACTGATGTACAAAAAAATATAGTATGAAAATTAAAATATTAAAATTAAATTTATATTTTTGTTACTTATGTAATATTAAAATAATGTGTTTTTATGAAATTTAATTGGGTTTTCACTGCACAAATGAACCAATGGAGAAACCGCCCCTGTTCATAATATATTACGCCAATTTTGGCGTTTGTTTGTCCTTCTATAATATTCACTTATTTTAAAAGCAAAAACTCTTTTTAAAATCGTTGACATCAAAAAGAGAAAATATGTATTTATATCTTAAAGTTAGCAACAACAAAATATGATAACATCATTCAGCGGCAGCCATCATGAAATTCGGACCAATCAAAGCCGGATAGTAACAAAACACTTCGGCTCTGTTCCCTCAGTTTTTAAAATATTATTTCTATAAGAATATATTTTTGAGTTTCAGTCAATATATATAGACCGAAATAATTCTGAATTTCATTCTCTTAAACCAATAGCATAAATTACGAATAAGAGTCATTCGTAAGTATTGTAAAAATTGCAAAATACTATTATACGGTAAATGGTATAAATTAATATATTTTATATATTTGTACAAAATAAAATATTAAGTCATTTTCTTGCTTTATTTATTCTATGCTGAAAAGAGGGCATCCAAGGAAATATCTTTTTGTAAACAATTATACAGTCTACAAATTATCAGATCACTACAACAGCAGACAGCAACAAAATCTGGAAAACTATTTTCTCCACGTTTCATTCACAGATAAGTTAGAAAACATGTAAATTATTAATATAATATGAAACATTTGTTAAATACATTATTTATAGGTTTTATTATATTAGTAGCTTAGTTGATATTCTTTGCAAAATGAATTATTTTAGAAAATATAATATATACCTACTATACAAATATAATTCTTCTACCTAATTTTTTCTAGTCAAACTATGTTTTAAATATATTGAAACATTGCAACACTAAATTTAAGTTTGATCCTATATGTACCCTTATTCCGTATCTGGTCAGATTTCAATACTAGGTAGACGAGGAAGGCAACAGCACCCATCCTTCGGTACGAACACGGAACATCTTGAGAGGGGATATCGTAATCATATTTTTCAATCATTTTTATATCCGAAATTACTTTGCTATTTTAATGATTACGGCTTTATATTAAGTCCAAGTTTAAAAATTATTTTTTGAACTTATTAAGAAAAGGATTCACTACAAGTTGACATTAATCGTTCGAAAAATAATGCATGTTTGATAATGTTAATTCTCTATTAAAAGTTGTCCTTTTTTAAACAAAATTAATAAACTTTATAATTTTTTGTAGACAAAACGGATCATTTTTTCAAAAAAGTATGAACACCCAGGGCTAGTGCCACTTATTCTCTTTGCACATAAAAAAATATATGGTATTATCTTTAAAACTGTGTTTTCTAGGATTAAAACAGAATGCCTATTTTTAATACAAATTTCCTGCTATTTTCATCGGAGCAATAACTCTTAAAGATTTTCCTTTTGTAATCGTAGGTAAAGAATCCTAGATGTCTGATTATATCCATTATCTTACTCGAGGATATTTTTTTAAAGCATTTTTGAGTTATCGTGGATACAGATACACACACAGAGAGAAAATATCAAAACTGACCCCAAAAATGTATAAATCCCTCGAAAACTCGAGGTTGAAAAAGTGACGATTCTTATACTTTCCTTACTGGTTACAGAAACGTAATATGTGGGCTCACTGATGAGGCTAATTTAAGAGGATGCACACCAAGCATAATGAGGCCTAAGTGATATGGGCCACCTTAAAGTTAAATTCAAAATATTATCATGTTAGGTTAATGAATTCTTTACTAATAGACTTTTTTATTTGATTTTTAATTTTTTATAGTTTTAAAGCCATAATGTATTTCTAAGTTGTAATACATGATTTGGATTAAAAACTAAACCATTTTTCGTGAATTTAAAATTAATGCGATATTTGCCAAACTTATTTTAACCTACAAGATTGTAAGATTATTATTAATAATACAATTTGACTAAAAACTTCTAATATATGAAAAATGTAGCTTACCAATTTTTAAATTGGCTACGTTATCAACGGCACACACAATATTTTGAAAAAGTAAAAAATACCAAATATTTACACCGAACGACATGGTTTACTTTGATACCATTCACAGACTATTTTGTACTAAATAATTTAGGAAACTTTGGTATTAATTATAACATCCTCTTTTTATTATTACTATAAATTAAAATAGAACAATTTTGCTAATTTAGTGTGTAATTTTTATGCGGTAGTCAATTATTGTTACATAAACTTGACACACATTTATTTAAAGTTGCTAATTTCCATTAAATACATGCGTTATACGGATCCGATTAATAAAAATTACCGATAAGAGAGTAAGACGGTGATATAAGTACAGTGGTAGGACTAATTTTGTTAATTTATTTATTTATTTATTGTCTGCTAGTAGAATGTTTTAAAATAAATAACTAATAAAATTAAATGTATACATTGAAGTTATCGGCAACATCTTTCTGACAGTATGCTCTTCCTATGTTGTCAGATCTCTTCCATCAAATATCCTGCATTAAATTTTTAGTAAAAATTACTATTTCCTTTAATTAAATTTATTAAAAAAGAAAAATGAAGATTTGAAAACATCAATGTTAGTTTTTTATTAATTACAATCACTTAAGATTTTTATTTATCATCTTTTACGCGTGTATTGCATGTGGCTATTGAACATTCTGGTTTATAACCTTTAAGTTTGGCAGCCTAAGACATTTTGTTGACGGCGTCAAGTGACAGCTTAATTTTTATAGTGCTTTTTTGTAGTTATTTGAAATTTTCGAGAATAATTTGAATATTGAGCTGTTTAATAGGGACATTTAGGATAGTAAGGAAATGCGTAGTGTGACAAACTTTTTGTAATAAGAATGTTATGCGGTCGTTTCTCAGGTAAGGTTTCGTTAGCATAGACGAAGGCATATATAGGGGATAAGGCTTGATTTATTTAAAATCGTAATGGCATGTATAAAATTCGTCGCTGGTACCCACAAAGCACATAGAGGTTCCACGTGAATGACCAAGGTCAAAACCGACAACTGACATTTTTTATGCTATTTGCTCCAAACTCTAGATGGGGCTACTGGTAAAATTCTGATTTCTTACTCCATTTTTAAGCTTTATGGGAGAAAAACTTAACCAAAGACTCCAAAGATGTGACGTGTATTTATTTATGTTTTTGGTTAATCTCATTTTTCCGTCTGATTTTAGTGATTTTTTGTTGGCTTTGGCTTTTGGTTTCTGTTTATAGTTTCGTTTTAGATATTTGCAAAATTGTGATGTTTTGTTTTTCTATTTCCTACTGTGTTTTGCAATAATTTTGGTGCTACCTGTGGGTGCTACGTTGAAAACTTCGAGAAAAACTTCATTGATTCACCATGCACCTGCATCATAAAAAGACAAACGGGTAAAACAACTAATTAATAATCAATTTATCACTGGACTAGATTCCGAAATCATTTTTCACATAAGAGAGTAATACACAAAGCAGTGGAGTAATACCACCATCTGTATTTGGAAGGAAAATACCTATTTATCATTGAATGAATAGTTAAAAGGATTCACCTTTTAATACAATACCTATATTACATTTTTCCTCGGTTTAAAAGACATAAAATATATTATTTTAGTGTTAATAAAATGTAATATCCTAGTCTCTACTTCACATTTAAATTATTGATAGGTATTTTAAAGATTTGAGATTGTATACCTATTTGCTGCAAGTAAGTATTCGTTAAATATGTATTAATTATTTGTATATTTTTATCTAATAATATTTATTTAAGTTAATAAACATATTTTAAGAATGTTCTATTTTATTATTTATTGATATATCTTATATTTATTTAATAATAATATGCAGAACCAACTCTCCACATCAGACCCCTGCTTATAACAAATTAATTCCTTAAATTTGGTATAATCGACCTAAATTATTTTGTAAAATAAAAGTTTCGAACTTACTAGTTCCATTCTTTATTTTATAAAATAATTTATGTGGAAATCTTTTAAAATTTAATATAAAACTACTACCGACTCCTAAAAATTACAATTTGAATTTACCGCCATCTGTCAATTGTCATTTTTAGTTCTAGCTCCAAACACAAGGTGGCGCTAATTTGGTTTAAAAGTTTAACATTGGCGTGGGGTCTCTAGAAGATACATGCTTTGTGCTGGTACCTGTCCTAAAAGAGTCAGTCCGTTATGCAGATAACTCTGAAAGTAGGTGAGTCGTGCAATCCAAAGGGTATGTTTTGGTAAGATCCTTGTTTTATATTTATGTCTGAAATAAGTTGTTTTATTGTTTTTAATAAAAATGGTAGTAGTTACAATATAGATGTAAAAACTAAAATAAAGATATATAATGTTTGGCGCTCCATATTATACTCTTTACAGTTTTTCCTTCTTTTTCAATCTGATATTTTTCAGAATCAATAGGCTTCATCTCCTATAAAATTTGATTTTTCCTGAAGATTTTAATTTGATATGGTTTTTAAGCTATTGCATAGCTTTTATCGCGGGCTTTGAGCGGCGACCGAATCAAGAAATTTCGTAACACCGTAACGAAAATAAACCTAACACCCCCCACTCCGACTGGCACAGCAGTGCCATGGAAGTTTATATGTCAAAATTAAAAATTAATACAATTAAGAAATAATGATACTTTTATAGTTTTTAAATCATATATTTATGTGATTCCATTAAATTACAATATAGGTATCATTTTTTAATATTTTTGGTGGATTGTTTAAATAAACTTCAATTTATTTTCTTTAGGTTTTATTTACCATATCATTAATACATTTTATTTCAGTTGACAGATCACTTCTCATCATGTTGAGAAACTCTGTATATCAGTACAATGTCAAAACAGGACATTGTTACCAACATAACCCTTTTGGCAGTAGGGAATTTTCGGCGTTACACTTAACACCTCCCCTCGCTAAAATCCCTAATGCCAATGAGGAACTGAAAATTTTTAAATAATTCATAACTTAAACCTTTTGTTAAAATAGCAGCTTGTTGACATTTTGACTCTATATATTTAATATCTATATATCCCTTATCTAAATTTTCACAAACGAAATGATACTTCAATTCTATATGTTTTACTCTCCTATTATTTATTTACAATAGATATACACCCTTGGTTGTCCTCATAAAATATTACCTTTCCCGGATTGAAATTAAAATCTAGTAATACCTTCCTCAACCAAAGGCATTCACAAACAGAATTACTCAGAGCCACTAATTCGGCTTCTGTGGTGGAGAGTGTAACACAGTTTTGCTTTCGAGTTGTCCATCCTATTGTATTTTCAAATTATTTAAATAGAAATCCACTCACGGATTTCCTGTCTTGTAAGTTACTACCCCAATCGGCATCAACATAACATATAAAATTCAATGTATCTATTCTTTTATATTCTAACCCTTCGTACATAGTAGTTTTTAAATATCTTAACATTCGTGTCAAGTGTTTCCATGATTCATCAGTTGCAGTAAGACTGCTAAAATAATTCAGTGCAAAGCATATATCTGGAAGAGAACCCACCATTAGATACATCAAACAACCTACTAATTGTCTAAATGGTTTATTTGTTAAATTATTTCCAGGACAAATGTTTAATTTTAATCTTTTATCTATTGGTGTTTTCACCCCCTTACAATTTTCCATATCAAATTTAGCCAAAATTGTTTTTATGTATTTTGTTTGAGAAATATTTAAAATTCCTTCTTCTCTATTATATTTGATCTCTAAGCCAAGAAAATGGTTAAGTTGCCCTTTGTTCTTCATTTCAAAACGATTCATTAGTTTAGAAATAATTTCATTTAAACTACTTAAACTAGGCCCTGCCAATATTATATCATCTACATAAAGCAAAAGGTATATTCTTTCATTGTTTGAAACCTTAAAATATAAACAAAAATCATTCTCAGATCTGACAAATCCTATTTCCAACAAAAAACTGTTAATTTCATTATTCCAGCACCTGGATGATTCCTTTAAACCATAGACAGATTTCTTTAATTTTAATATTTTACCTGGGTAAGGTAACATACCCTTTGGATAATAAATATAAACTGGAGATTTTAAGATCCCATTCAAAAATGCACATTTTACATCTAATTGCAAAAAATAGTAAGATAACTGATTGCCTAAACTTAAAAGTGTCCCTATTGTGGTAATTTTTGCCACAGGTGAATAAATATTTTCATAATCTATATTATTTTGAGCAAATCCCCTGACTACTATTCTGGCCTTAAATTTATCAATTTCATTTTCCTCCAATGGCCTTTTGGAGAATACCCATTTTGTATCTAAAATATCACTAATCCCTTTATTTTCAACTATTTCTCAAGTTTCATTTTTGTGTATTGCTTCTAACTCTCTATTTACAGCTAATAACCAAGACTGTTCATTTTTATGACCTTTTATTTCCTCATATTCCTTAGGTACATCTTCAATGTAATTTATGGCATTAAAGGCCATATATAACTCATAATCATTATACCTGTCTGGTAATTTTATCTCCCTTCCCCTTCTATCTAACGTTTCAGTTTAATTTTGTTCTACATTTCTTACTACGTCTATATTTCTGACTCCCTCTGCATTTCTAACATCCTCTATATCAATAGTATCATCTGCTTTAATTTTATGTTCTTTACCCGTTTCCTCTAACTTAATTTCTACATGATTTTGTTTAAGATAACAATGATTCTCATCAAATTTAACATCCCGAGCAAAAATTATTTTTTCCATATTAATGTCCCATAACCTATAGCCGTTTTCAACATACCCAATCATAATTCCTTTTTCAGCTTTTTGGTCAAATTTTCATCTTTTCTCCTTAGGTATGTTTGGCATTTTATTATACCAAAGTTCAGCAGGTGTGATCTTATTTTCTAAAGCATGGGTAGGGCTCCTGTTTATAATATATGTTGCAGTTTGTATTGCTTCCCCCCAAAATTTCTTGGGCAGCCCTGAATCAAATATCATTGCACGACCCCTTCCTACTAATGACCTATTCATTCTTTCGGCTTTACCATTTTGCTGAGGTGTGAAGGGGATTGTATAATCTACCCGTATACCGTTTTTTCTACAGAACATCTTTAAATCATTGGAAATATACTCGCCCCCATTATCGCATCTTAGTTTTGAAATTTGACTGTTAAACATTGATTTTGTCATATTGAAATAATCTTTAAATTTGCCAAAGACCTCCCCTTTGTGTTTTATTTAATAAACTATTGTACAATTAGTGAAATCATCGATAAATGTTAAGAAATAGTTAAATCC